ACTTCCTTTTGCCTCCATTCATTTGTTCATCCTTCTGCTGTCAAGATTCAGCTTAGTAAAGACCCACTCCAGAGCCAATGGAAAATTAGCTAAGAATTCCTCACACAGAAGACAACTCCGTAGTAGGAGAGTCACCATATAGGAAGCTGGAGGGTAAGCAATCATGTGGAAGACAGGAATCGTTTTCGAATAAAATCAAGATCAGTGAAGCCACATGGAAGTTTATGGCCAAACATTACTCATGAAGAAAAAAAATGATAGAAGTTAATGGTGGTCCTGGAGCTGTGCTTGATAGCGCATGCCTGTAATCCCAGTGCTTTGAGAAGCCGAGGCAGGAGGATCGCTTGAGCTCATGAGTTCAAAACCAGGCTGTGCAACATAGTGAGAGTGAGATCCTGTCTCTATGTATAAATATATAACAAAATAGATACATAAATATTATATATAATGTGTATTTATTTATAAATAGATATATAAATATTATACATAATATGTAAATATTTATAAATAGGTAGATAATATATATTTATAAATATATATATAAATGGATATACAAATAGGCAGGAGGATTGCTTGAGCTCATGAGTTCAAAACCAGGCTGGGCAATACAGTGAGAGTGAGATCCTGTCTCTATTTATATATACACAAAAATATGCATATGTGTGGGTGTGTGTGTGTGTGTATATATATATATATATATATATATATAAAATATATACACACCAAAAAAAGAGTGATCCTGATAACATAAAGCAAGAAAAAATAAAGTTCAAAAAACAGGTCTTGCCTAGTAGTTCAAACTTGAGACGATAAATTGAAAGTCAATGCCGGCGAGTTGCTTTTGTTTAGAAATTGGCTCCTTCCAAGGAAATGACGGAAAGGCCAGTGTAATTGCAGAACACAAGCTGAGGAGGCTGGAAAGGTCATAGTGACTCTTCCAGTGGTCACTTCTACCAGTTTCTTTGGCCATGGTTGACTGAGTCTAGTGTAGAGACATGTGACCCAAGCTAGAGAAAAATTCTCCCTCTTAGGAATGAATAAAGTAGAGCAGGGACAACCAGAGGCAAGAGGCATGATGGAAATAATTCAGAGTCCACCATGGAAATGACTTAATGATTTGCTGCTCTAGCCTCCCCAGAACAGCCTTGGTTGCTTCCCTCTAGAGGACCGGTTTGGATGGTCCAAGATCCGCCACCAAATATCCTTTGTGACCTGAGTACAACAAAAGGTCTTCAAATTATTTGAGAACAAATCAAGTTAGAGATCAATATGTTTAATATGATTTCTGTGAAAACAGAGAAGTGCTTAAAATTTAGATTTAAAACAACGACAGAATAAATCCTGGCCTGAACAATATGTGGCTTTCCAATGTTGGTGGGAAGTGCCTGCAGACTTCATGCCTGTAAACTGGCCGCCTCCTGGTTGGTGCTGTGGCCTCTGGTGGTCATCATGCAACTTAATCATAGGTATTGCAGAAATACTCAACAGAGATTAGCAGACATCCAGGAGGAGTGCCATTATTTGAGGGCAGGGCATGTTTGGGCAAGTGATAGGGACAATGGTCTGTCGTACAAAGCACTGAGGGTGATTGAAACTGAGTGTGAGTAGATGCTGGAAGAATCTCTCCACTGAAAATACTTTCGAATAGATCCTTCAACCCACAAGTGCATTATACTCCATGACAGGACTTAACCTACGGAGACCACTGGCGGCCTTGTAAGTCTCCCCCACAAAGCTGAGCTCGTGGTACAGAGAGACTGCATGTTCATCTCTGGGTGCCCAGCACTTAGCAGAGTACCTCATACAAGGAAGACCATAAATAGTGGCTGAAAGCACACTGAATAAACAAGGACATCAGAACACTATTCGGAGCACAAAAGTAGTATTTTAATCTAAGCTAGATAAATGTTGAAGAGAATGGCAGAAGCAAATAATGAAAATAAAGGTGTCTCTCAAAATGCAGATGAAATGCCTTTGCATAACATTATTTTTCAGATTGCAAATAATTGCCATATTCTTCTGAGTGACTTTCAGACATTACATTGATTCTGGAAATAGGAGAGAATAAAAGCAAATTCATCATGCTTGTAGCAAACACAAGTATGTGTTTTCTTTTTTTGTCAAATCCCTGCATTCTAGGAGAATGACATCTTTGTGCTCCTCCTGCACGTTTATGATGTCTAGTGAAGTGTTAATCTTTAACTACAGCAGGGATCAATCACAACGTACTTAACAACAACAAAAAAATAATAATCCCCCTGCCTTCACACCATGAAAAATATTTGCACTGCTTTATTGGACACTAACTGTACTCTTTAAAAACTGTCTATTCATGGTGTGGTCATATCTTAAAATGTCCCTGTATCTATCAATGAACTATTTATTTGAAAATATCAATTCCATCTTTGAAATCTCAGGTTGTAAAATCAGTAGAAAATAAGAAATTATGGTAATTCTAATTGCACTAAATTTTGTCTACAATCAAAACGTGAGCTTAATCTCTACCAGAGGTCCTAGCAGTCCTGCAGTGGATATCAGCAGGATGCTATTCTTCAATTGCAAACAACAAGTAAGATTGGTACAAAATGGGAGTTTAAGGTTCAGTTTCAATCAGTTTCTCTAGTACTTATAGAAGGATAATACAAAGCAGTGTCAAAGAAATTGCCGTGTATGATAAAGCTATTCCCCATAATAAATCTGTACAAAAGCTTCAGCACTACAGTGAATTTGGCAGAGCCTTGGAGTTGCATTCTTCCTGTAGAACAAGAGCCCTCTTAGAGGCTTAATTTTAACGTTTGAAAATATCATCTGTTTTCTTTTCTTTCTAATACTCAAATATTCTGAAAGGTTATATACATCATTATTACAGAACTTTAGAGATACCACAGCATAGTGGGAAAATACGGCTTTGAAATGAGCTACAACTCAATCTAAACACCAGCTCTGCTACCTTCAGCCTCAGTCTTCTCACTTGTAAAATGAGGTAAATTATATCCACCTCGTCAAGTTAATATGAGAAATGACGCAAGTGAGATAACATGTAGAATTCCTATTATAAGGTAACTATTTAAGAAATCTACCAGCGTGGGAGGCTTACTGATTTCTTCTAATGCATGAAGATGTGAAATCAAAAAAGACAACATATGGCCGGGTGCGGTGGCTTAAGCCTGTAATCCCAGCACTTTGGGAGGCCAAGGCAGGCAGATCACGAGGTCAAGAGATAGAGACCATCCTGGCCAACATGGTGAAACCCTGTCTCTACTAAAAAT